TTTTTTTTTTTTTTGGGTGGGGGTAGAAATAGCTGCTTAAGTAGTTCTATCAATTACCAAATGACCATGTTAAAAAAATGGCAAAAATTAATCATCCTCTAGAATTTGCTGGGTAATATGCTTGCATATGGGAACTCTGGGTTGTTTCTTAATCCTTCTATATTAGATATCGTCCAGAACAGTATCTGAGGCCTGAGCAAGAAGAAACATGTCAGTTTGCCACTTTGCCTTGCTCAACTGTTTGTTGTACATGTATAATTTGTCTAACTGCCTGAAATAAGATCGATGAAGGGTTGTTAATATAGCTGGCTTTTGAGGCCCTTGTGAATTTTCATTAAGGTTTGTTGTTATGTTTTGCATTTTCATTTTCTTAGTAAAAGGGAATTATAAGAACACCGAACAGAAAATAACTGATGTGACAAACCAGTACTGATATTGTCCGAAGAGAGAATGAAACAAAGGAGCTGCAGGGTGCTGCAAGCTTATTTTTCTTGTTTCCTTTCTGTTTTTCGCTCTCTTTTTTTCTTTTCGTCTCTTTCCAACTCTACATCCTTTAGTACAAAAGACAAGATAAATAACTATGTTAGTGGTTGATTTCCAAGCCATGTACAACCATACGTATTCAATAACAGTGATCCTTCTCTTTCCCCCCTTTGATGAGGTTAGCTATTTCACTTTCTTTTTCTTTTTCTTATGATACCGGTAACCTAAAGAAACTAGGTTAAGTTCCTGTGATAGAAAGAAAATTGTTAAAGACATTAACTAGAATTGGAGTAGGCAGTTTCTAACAAAATCATTGTTAAAAATGTAAAAACAGTGTAAAACTCAAAACATCCAAAGATCCAAGGACTTAAATTACATCAAGTATCTCTTGATCCACTGCTGCAATTTGTTTGGTTTCCCCTTGCAAACTTATCCTTAAGCTTGGTTACAGTTTTCTTCAGCTAAATTTGTGTAAAATGCATAAAATAACTCAAATTAGTTCTATGTTAGCATTTTCACAATTCTGATAGGGAACGGATGGAAATTTCTTCTAGACAGTGTTGCTTTGCATCAATCACAACTCTATTGGTTTACTATGCTAGTGGATCGTTGGAACTTTCCAGGCTTTTTCCTTGATGTATGAGCCTAAAAGAAAATGTGCTAGAGCATTTGTTGATAAAGTGAAACAGAGTGCGCCAACACCTCCATTATATGATTTCAGCTTCTTTAGAAAAACTGCACAATTAGTTTATAAATGAGAATTCCAATCGGGACACAGTCTAGACAGTAAGAAAAACCTCTTCCAGTTGACAATCTGGTCTTTCTCTGGTTTGACTTGAGGAATGACGCTATGGATCAATTTTGAGCATCAAAAAACGTAACAATTCAAATTACAAGCGAGAAATGTATGAACCAATCTGGAGTCTGCCTTTGCCTTGGCAAAATATCCTTTGTGAACAAAGCAGGTAGGTGTGGAATCCTAAGCAAGAGAATAGAAATTTCCAGTTAATTGAATTGCC